AGGTATAAACAGATTTGCATGAATAAAAATCTAACAAATAAAGAGATAAATTCAACTGAGACGAGATTATCACTGAGCTGCAGAAGAATTGAAAGAGTTGACGTTTCACGGTGTCACCTGAGAAACAGTTGCTGTAGGTGCTGCCCTGCTCCACATGGCTGCTCATGTCGATTCCACTGTGAACATCGTACATGGAGTCCAGCACTTTGCTTTAGAAAGAGTAAAAGCAGAACTTAAGTGTTCAGAGATTTGAATCTGGTCACAAACACACGTGGTGAGGCAGAGGAAACTTCTCCGATTAGTGGGAGAGCTTCTGTTTTACAAGGTTTACCTGAGGTCAATGTTGCGTAACCGTGGAGACGCAGGTTCCTCCTGGTTCGCCATCTTCCCTCCATCAGACGTCTGTAGCTTGTCGCCTGCAGCCGTGATGTCAGCGGCCCACTCGTCTCGCTCCTCTCTTGAACAGGCCTCCAGAAAATGATCTACCCCGTTCGCTGTGTGGAGCTTGAACACCAACTGTTAAAAAATGATATCTTAGATTAATATTCACATAACCAGTTGCACTTGTTTTCTTTTGTCCATATGAGAACATTAACTAGGTTTTAAAAATATTCATTATGGAGTCAATTTACTTACTTTACATGAGAGTAGATTCTATATGGTACTTTGAATGTGCTGTAACTGACATATACTTATTTCAGTTTTTATGTACTGATGTTGGAAATCTAATTATTTCTTCTTTGGGGAACAAATTGTTGTCTTGAAAGCTGGAAGATGTTTGAACTCGGGTCCTGACAGAACATTAACCTGAGGCCATTTCCTGTCTCATCGAGTAAGGCCTCTCCTTCAGTGTGGTTTCCACCAATAAAAACATAAACACAGGAAAACACTTCATAGAACATGTGCTGAACCCACGAACCAAAAACAGGGCCGTAGAATTTATTAGGTGATTGGGGAATTACTTAAAAGATTAAATTTCACAGGATATGTCGACATTGTTCAAATGAAAAGACTTCATACTTCATATGAAGAGGCTTACAGCTTACAGTAATACAAACATACAGTTTCTAACACTGAGGATTCGCACATGAAATATGGAGATGAAGAAAAACATCTGAAGCTTGAAAGAAGGTTTTGAAGGGAGA